CATCCTCCAAATGCAGACCATGGCTTTTTTCTGGCCAATGACTCACTGCTTTATACCACCGTGTTTAGCAAAATTCCTGTAAGGCAAGTGAAATAATTATCACAATGAGTGTGGTAACAGCATGATCCTACATCTTAAATGCACCTCAGAGACAGGGTGATTACTCTCAGTTTCTTTCTTGCTGACGGCTCGCATCTCCAGACAAGCTCTGAACGTTTGCTAGCTATGAAGGAGAAGCTCAGCAGAACATGAAGGTGGACAGAACCAGATTTCTTCCTGCTATGGTTCATTTTGGGGAGGGTTTTCACTTCCTCCCAGCACCAGTGCAGCCAGACTCCCCAGCGTGTACAGCTCTGGATTACTGCCGGTTATCACGGCAAGGAGGGGTCCCAGCGAGTTTGTACTGGGGCAGGGGGGGCACTGATGGGTGAACACCACTGCTGCAGTGCCACTCATGTGTGGACAGTGTGGGGTGTAGGTCGGGAGGGAAAACAAGGCTTCAGCCTGTGGAACTGGAGTACTGAGGGGCTTCCTGCGCTCAGACCCCACACAGGGGGACAAGAGAGACCGGCAGCCAAGGCTGGGGGCCAGCAGAGCCTCCCCAGGGTGTCTTTTAGCTTTATTTCATACTTACATGAAAAACTCTTCTAATTCCCATAAATTTTCAATATGTGGTTCATACTGGCAGTTTAAATGATATTATTCAGAATAATTATATTATTGAGCTGAGAAATGTCCTGTTTGATTACAGCAGCAGTTTACTCATCTGTGTAATTCTTTTTAAATGTCACACAAGCCAGTAAACAAAAATACAAACCCCAGAGATAGTTGCTGTGGGTGGGGGTGAGACTGTAGCTGTCTGTGTGTTTTATAAAAGAGACTTTTATAGAGAAATTACAGTTCATACATCACACCAGAATAGGGGCTGCTATTAAAGCAGCACAGTGCCTGTAATCAGGTGTAATTGCTTGTGCAGCGCACCCCTTAACTCAGGGCTGATTTCCAGCATCGGCAACTTGCAAGACTAGTTGTTTTCTCTGTTTCTTCACTGATGTCTTAAACCTCTGGCATGTTCATTCCTCAGGGACTTTTTCTGACGGTGTTGTAATTCACAAGTCTCTCAGAGACCATATCTGCTAGAGCAATCCCAGCGCGTCGCATCTGCAGCCACGGTCGCGGTGTTGATAGCTCCTGCAGACCAGCCTGAGCTGATGGAACTGCTCTTCTTCTCCCCCGGGCACCCACCCTTGCTCTTTTTATCCTTAGATTCCTCTCCCAGTCTCGCACCTCCAGCCTAAGGCTCTGTCTGTCTTTGAGATACCCATTCCTTCTTGCTTTACAAGATTTGCACGCTGGAAACTAGCAGACCGAGCTCCTGCAAGCTGCAGCACCTCTGAGCTGGTTGAGCGACTGAGGGTGCAGAATGCGACCAAAGCCTGTCTGCAGGAGACTGCAGTCACCGTCACTTCTTGTCCTCTTGTGCCATGCACTGTCCCCTCTGCATTTCATTTATCCTCTCTTCCCGTCTCTTCCTTTGCTGTTTCCACAGCCATCATTTCCCATCACTGTTGGTCTCCAGGTTATCGACTCATTGGGCAGGGAAGGCATCGCTTTATTCCTGCGTTGTATCTAGTGCGGTGACCTTAGAGCTGCTGTGTAAACACCGAGGCAGGTTAATTAATCCAAAATGCATGGTATAACTAGCATTGCAGGGATGGGAGATACAGAACTTAGTAGAGAAAGTGTTTCACAGGAGCCTTGTCCAGCAGCTCGCTAGACCAATTACCCCCCCAGGGCTAACGAGCGGCCATCCCGCTGGAGCCAGGCCCTCTGTGCTGGTGTGGCCGCAAGGACATGACCTGCGACTTGGAGCATGCGAGGTGACACGTGAGCAGACAAGGCTTTCACAGAGCAAGACACAAAATGCCCGTCTTTACCACGATTTTTGCCAAGAGCTCTGTGTGGACAAGCTTTGGCTTTTCCCATGTTGTCACTCTAGAAACCTCGGAGCTGTTTCTTTAGACACGGGCACTAATTCGGACTCGTTGTACCCCTGAGGTATTCCTGTGTGAAGCCTTCGCATGAGACCTCTGTGGCAGGGTGGTCGTCAGACCCCATCCGAAATCACGACAGAAACAGGCCAGGACGAGAGCAAGGACTGGACGTGCCGTTCACAGCCTGACGCGGCCGTTGGGGGCTGCAGCCAGGGGAAGGGGACGGGCTGGCCCTTGAGGCTTTGCCTGCACAAGCAGCAAAACGCAGTTGTGTTCTCGGAGGTGTTTCTAATTCCTTTCTCTGCGGTAATAAACTACCAGCACCAGCTTTTCCTGGCTGTTTATTGTATCTTACTTTTAAAGCAATTCTCTCCCACATACTCCTTTGTCTCAGCCTTTTATCTCCCCACGTGTTGCCAGCTGGTTCTTCCTGTTTGCCTTTTTTTTATTTAGCATTTTCTTTGGGAATTTTTCCTCCACCAGGAGGGTGTGTCAAGTCCAGCAGAGCCTTGTTTGCAAAATTAATACTTGAGTAGGATTGGGGAAAACTTGTTATTCTTGATTTTATCCTGTTACTACACATTCATTATAGCTCAAAGGTGCTGTGTATTACATTATATTATGTTGTATTATGCTGTATTATGCTGTGTTATGTCATATTATATTACATTACGTTACATTATCACACACCTACTTTAATGAAAACTCAGTTTTCACTCAGACGTCTCGTTAAATAGAAGATCATCAGTCAAACTGCCCTGAAACTCCTTTCCTGCACTCTCCAGGCCCCCTGAATGTTTCTTTCCTCATCACCTTCTACTTCGTGCCTTAGCTTGCTCTCAGCTCTGGCAGCAAACATCCCTTTCCACAGCATCATCCCGTCCCTCTGCCCCATCCTCCCGCAGCCGCCCCTCCAGCACCGGCCTGCAGCCGCTGAATCCAACAGCAGCGCTGTGACTGATGGGAACGGTGCATTTTTCTCTCTGTCCCCTGTAAGGATCGCTTTGTGGAAATAGATGGGAGAGATTTCTAACCAAAGGTGTATCAGAAACATAACTACCCGTGTGACAATTTTTTTAATACTTGTCTATTCATCTACTTGTAGAAATTCTCAGGTTCAAGGCTGTCAGTAGTAGCAAAGTTTTATTAGAGAGCAGCTGTGGTAGTTGTGAGACAAGTGATGGCAGAACAGATTAGCCCGAGTGAAGAGCAGTGATTGGATCAGCGCAGCGGCAGAGGGTGAAGAGCGCAGGCAGCGTGGCGGCAGGGAGGCAGCCGTTCTGCAAGGTCCCTTCCGGCTGGTGCCATAAGCAGAACTGACAACTGACGGGGTATTTTTGCCTTGTTATTTCCAAATGGTTTGTTCTTCCAGAGACCTCCTCGGGGGATGTGTGGTGGGGCTGGCAGGGATGCTCTCTGCTCTGCAGTGACCTGTGGAGGAGGAGCTGGAAACGTTACTTTGTGAGGGGCTTCCTCCGCCTACCCTTTGGCTTTCTCTTACACCCCCCTTGCCCTTGTGCTCACCTTTCTTTTCCCTCTTCTCCCTAGCTCGCTTGACTTTATATTCTTGGTGAAAGACTCGTGACTGACTTTGATTCCCCCTGCCAGTTCCTCATTTTCCTGTTGTGCTGAAGGTCTTATTTAAACACATTTACTACTAGTAACCCCCCAGCATCAAAATTATTTTCTATGCATCGGTTTATAAATGTCCCATAGCTGCATCCCTCCCCCCTGCTTTCTACCATAGCCCAATCAATCCCCCTCCTCTACCACCAACAGCCACAGCCACGATCCTGCATGTCTGACTCCATGCACTGCTGCTCTCCAGGAAAAAGAAATGTCTCCCGCTGCTCTTCACCCCAGAAAAGCCCAGAGACCCCGCGTTCTCCTCTCTCCCGGATACACACCGGGACTACAGAAGCAGCTCCTGGAGGACACCTCACCTGACATCCTCACTGGCGCGCACAGGCTTAGGGCAGGCATGGCTGACACAGGCTGGCTTTAAGCCCACCGCTTCTTCCAGCTGATGCCGCAGGGACTCCTCTTCCCACTGTCCCTCTGTGGAAAGGAGACAGCTCTGGTAACAAAAACCCTGACATTCCCACACTGGAGATCTGCCCAGGACATGGCACTACCCAGCATGGCTTTAGCTGTGTCTCTGCAGTCACTGCTGGCCATTCCCCTTTGAACCACAAGTGTCATTAAGAGCAACATTTAGCACATCCTCCATCCTGCCTGCCTGTTGACAGCCACTGCCTTTCCATCCCGACACACCCCGCATTACCCGAGGCTCACCGACAAGCTCCGACAGTCTCATTCCTCCATTGCAGCCAGCACGTGGGACAAGAGCTGATTATTCCTGTAAATTTAGGACCGGGGAGGCCAGGAGAGCCCACCTCAGGGCACCTCCACCCACATACCTTGTTTTCCAAACTAATGGAGCTGGTGGGTGCTCAGGGTGGTTGTGTGCATGCAGCCCTTTATGAGATTAACAGCATGCCTGGCTGTTTCAAAATCTCAGGCAATGGGAGGCTGGGAAGAGCCAACTGCTTTGCATACAAATTAAATTTCCGAAAACTTTAATTAAAATTGTTGTGAGAAACTGCAAATGTTTAGATAATTTATTGGTTCAGTTAATTTAACTGCCAGTCCCTAATCCTGTCTACCTGTGGCAAGGCCAATAAAACTCAGCTCAATGACAGTGTTCATAAAAAGCCCTTGCCCAGCACATAGCAAATACCGCCCTCCAACGAGCTGCAATGCTGCTTCTTGCCTGGGTGGCTGGGCCAGCTCCGGGTCCTCTCCCGGCTGCCACCACTGGCCTGGGAGCAGGGAATGGTCTCTGGCTTGCACTCTGGACATCTATCAGAGCCCAGTCCTCAGACACCTCATGGTTTGCTAATGGGCTTGCTCTGGTAACAGGTCAGTGCTGGTTCCTCACCACAATGGTGCTTTTACCATTTGTATCCGAATTTTCCTACCCCTGTACATCAAAGCGTAGAGGTTTTACTGTGCGTGGGTTTGTCTGCGGTCAGCGTACATGATGTCCTGCTGTCCGCCCTCCAGCAGGCAGTGGTAGGTCTGAATCTCCTGCTCCAAGTGGCATTTGACATCCAGGAGGGTCTTGTATTCCTGGTTCTGGCATTCCATTTCTGCTCGTATCTCAGCCAGCCGCTGCTCCACGCAGGAGATCTGGGTCTGTAGCTCAGCCAGGTATTTGTTGTAGCGACATTCAGTTTCCGCTAAGGAGGATTCCAGGTTTTCTTTCTGAGAATGGAAACAACATAAAGGTACCTGGGATGCTGCAAGCTTAGCCCGGCTGTTTACGGGTACGACTCCGGTCCTGCAGCTTCCTAAGGAGAGCTGTGAATCGTAGTGGCACCACCTACCATGGTGAGCTGGGCTTGTACATTGATTTCCAAGGCCTGCAGCTGGCGTCGCAGCTCAGTGACCTGTTTGTTGCTTGACTCAATCTCCTGGCTGCTTGTGATGACCTCCAGGTTCACCTCCTCCATCTGCAAAGGTCGAAAAGAGCAGCCCTTTCCCCACCTCACACACATCTCGTTGGGGCAGGGGCCTCCCCACACTGTTTGTGCACGCCCTGCAGTGCCCCTGAGTGTTGCAGCTCTAACCCCCCAAGTTCTTCCCTGGTGACCCTGTAACACCATGCCATGGCCCCTCTGCCATGAACAGGAGAGCGCTAGAAGTGGGCGGGACAGCCAGACGCTGATCACATCCAAGACAGGGTGGCAGATACTAAGACACCTCCAGTAAGTGTCCGTATCCTCTCATCAAGCAGAGTAGGGTTCGGCTCTGCTCTGTATGCGTACCGTACCTTGCAGGCATACCACTGCTCAGTCTCTTTGCGGTTGCGCTCCATCAGCGTTTCATACTGGCACCTCAGATCCTCCAGAATCTTCCTCAGGTCTGGGCCGGGACAGGCATTGACCTCCACGCTCACATCTCCCGTCGCCTGTTTCCTCAGACAGTTCATTTCCTGCAGAGAACACGTGAATATCATCAGTATTCACGCTCAGGGGACTTCCCTCCTTTCTCCTTGTTTCTCTAAGGGTAAGGGGCCCTCCAACCTCCTCGTGGTTTGTCTTGAGGCAACACATCTCTTCAGTCAAAGCCTCACACTGCAGCTGCAGGTCAGTCTTGCAGCTGGCCAGCTGATCCAGGACAGGCCGTAAGTTGCAAATGTCTGCATCCACGTTTTGCCGGAGACCGCATTCAGTCTCATACCTTAAGCCACAGGCGACAGAGAAAGGTCATAGAATCACAGAATTATGGGATGGTTTGGATTGAAGGGACGTCAAAGCCCACCCAGTGCCACCCCCTGCCATGGGCAGGAACACCTTCCATAGACCAGGTTGCTCCAAGCCTCATCCAACTTGGCCTTGGACACTCCCAGAGATGGGGCATCCACAGCTTCTCTGGGCAACTGGTCAGCAAACCATGGCAAGCCCTTGAATTGAATTTGTGGGGAAAAAGTGTAGAAGCAAGTTCTTGTTTCGCTGCAGGCATGCCAGGCTATGAACAGGTCAGTGGTAGCCGTGCCTTTCACAGAGCTCTGCGCCTCATTGCGGCAGCGTGACAGGCAGGGTTAGGATTCCCCATCACCACCGCTCACCAGCCCTTCCCAGGCAGCGTGAACCCCTCGGCCCAGCACAGGACCGTACTCACTTCACTCTGAAGTCATCAGCCGTCATCCTGTTGTTATCGATGTTCAGAAGGATCTTGTTAGTCTCCATGGCTGCACAGAGGATCTGGAAAACGCAGGAGAGAGATCTGAGCCTTCCTCTGGCTACAGGAGGCCCTGGAGGAAACACCCCCCTGGGGTAGCGCAACCCACTTATTTTATAATGATCCCTTATCTTGGGGTTATTCACCAGTTAGATGGCATTGCAGTGGGGAAACCTGCGTGCCAGCTTGGCAGAGCAGGCTGTGCCAAACCTCGGGTCTCCGTAAAGGCAGTGTCCTCCTCCCTCCAACCACCTATTTCATGTAAATTCTTGCTTCCCGGGCACCTCCGCAGACACAGCTATAGACACAGCTATCACCACTGCCGTTCGACATCCGTCTATCCACAGCTCACAGCAAAGGCCCAAGAATACTAGAGTTTTCTTGAGAAACAGTGATTTACCTGGTTTTGAAGGTCTTCGATTTCCTTATGAAAGCAGCTGTAGTCCCGGGGTTCGCAGATGGGCCCTACCTTGGCATACCACTCCCTGATCTTGCACTCCAGGTCGGCGTTGTCCCCCTCCAGCAGCCGCACCTTGTCCAGGTAGGAGGCCAAGCGGTCGTTGAGGTTCTGCATCGTCGCCTTTTCGTTGTTAGCAAATAAGATCCCATCACCGCAACCAGCGCTAGCCCTGGCGAGACCCCCACCAATGCCTCGAGGGCAGATGCCTCCGCCGACGAATCCCAGGGTCGAGCAAGCCCTTTGGGTAGCTCCAAAGCTCCCACCGGTAGCACTGCCGGCGCTCAGCTGCTTCCCGAGTAATCCCTCGCTTAGACTGCCACCAGAAAAGTTGCCAGCCGCGCCACCCAACTCGTAGGCAGCGTGTCTTCCCGAGGAGGCGGAGGAGACCTTTATTCCATTACCGGCTGCAGAGCTGCCCGCGCTGCTCCTGCCTTGGGAACAGGTAGTGACAACCTGCCTGACGGCGCAGCTCATAGCGAGAGCGCGAGGATCCGACTGGGAGCCCAAGGCAAGCTGCGCAAACCTCTGCGGGATCCGATTGTGATCCCTCTGTCCCCACAGGCCTCTATTTATACCATGCCTCGTGGATGTTGCCACCGGAGCAGGGCTGTTTATGCTTCCTCCTTGTGACCTGGCTAGTAGTGTTCTTTTTTTCCAGCCGGAAATATTTCCCCAAAGGCGTTTGTCTCCAGAAATCCCACAACAGAAAGATGCTTTGGTTAACAGAAGCGTGTTTCAAAACTACATCAAAAATGTTACTTCCTGAATCATCAGGTCTGACTTGTGATGACAACTAAACAACAGTGACACAAAAAACGATACCCAAGAGCGCCCGGGGAATGAAACATCAGAGCAATTAGCCCTCCCCGACGTGGGCGAGTCTACCCGGAAAGTGAAAGCTGTGGGAAAGCCGCCCCGTCTGACGGAGCCTGTTCGACCCCTTTGAGAGCAGAAGCGAGGTGCCCCCTCGCTCAGCTGCCCCGCGGTCCCTGGGACCGAGGCCAGGAGAGCACCCGGGACCATGCTGCCTCCGTCCCGTTCTGTGTGGCTGGGGGTGGAGTGAGGAGCTGCCGAGCTCTGGGTCATTCGACCTGGAAATGCTCTTCTCTTGGAGCGCACAGAAAAAACACTACTTCTGACACTGGCACATCCTACGTATCCCTCTGTGTCTCACTGCACTCGAGTGACCCAGGGAATATTTGCGGCTCTTTCTCCTGTGTGCATCAAAACACCCCCTTCCATAAATCCTATGGTAGTTGTTTTGCTGCTTTCAAGGGTAGACAAAATATTCAAATATTCATGCAAAATAAAAGAGAAAAGGATATTTCCTGAGTGCCAAATATTGCAGTTAACTGTGACAGTTCGCTGCCAAGAGAGGACAGCCACCTATGATGTTTCATAACCTTTCTCAGACAGTAACGTGGGGAATTCCAAAAGCAGCCAGGTCCTGTGTGGGTCTGACTCAGTTCCAACCAGCACCATGAAACTAAAAAAATATAATCATGGGGAAATGTGTTAAATTTAGAAAAGACACTAGAGAATCATTTAAAATAAGATATTAAACGTAATTTTTTAGTCTTGGAATACTCAACTGAGGAACAAGAGAAATAATTAAAATGTTTTGTCATCTGAATATTTCATTTTGTTAATAATATGAACACATCCATGCTAATACTGGCTGACTTGCACCCCTGTGTTGTTCAGCATCACTTTTGCATCCAGGTCACCTGGACACATCACATAAGGGATGCGTCAGGTGCAGCCTGGTTCAGAAATATTGCTTCTGCCATTTGGGCAAGTTCATTAGCCTTGATTTTATCTTGACACTGCAAATCCAGGACACCTTACATGTGGTGTGGACTCTGCGTGTGCCCATCCTTTGTTACATCCGTAATTAGCTCGGGAAGCCCGTGCCATGGTGCCATGGCATGCCTCATCGGTGGCGAGATCCCGAGTGGAGGCTGCGGCGTGCTCAGACCCGGGCACCTCCGCAGGGAGCCCAGCGGCAGCTCTGCCGCTGCTGGGGCAGGAGGGAATCGGGAGCAGGACTGGTCAGAATGTGTCCTTTCTCCGTAGGGGAATTGTAAAAATAATGCTGAGCTAATGTTTCATTTCATTTAATTGAGAAACACAGTCCTTCATTTTTCCATGAGAAAAATTAAAACGTTAATGAGTGGTTTCAATTATTGAAAACTCAGCAGAAACGTCCACGTTTGTCTCTTAGTTTTTCAACTTCAGGTCTTGCCATAGGTCTCTGTAGCCAAAGTCGATTAGAATTTCTACAGCTTTGGCAAAGGACAATAATAATTTCACTCTTGATTTTACTGAATCTGTGTGTTCTCCATGGTAGCTTTTTTCCTTTCCAAAATTTGATCTTTCTCTTAAAACCAGCCCTTGTTTTACACCAGTGCACACCTTGAGACCTGCCAGCAGTTACAGCCCCCTTTCATTAAAAGACATTTTCATGTCTTTCTGACGAGGTCTGCTAATGACGGTATCTACATGCATAATGGAAGGCTCCTTCCAGAATTAACTCTTATTGACTTCCAGACAGGTCTGCAGACGGAAATTTGCTCACCGCAGCCTTGCAGCCAGCCAGGGGCGATGCTTCTGATGAGCCGTCCTCGGCTGACTCGGGAGGCCCTTGCGGGCAGCGCTCTGCCCGAGGCACTGAGTGGAGGATTATGGCTTACGAGGAGTCCCCGGCAGCGTTTCACAAACAGCAGTGCAGGCCTGGCAAGGAGAAATTATTACTTCAAGTAACAAATGAGCAGAAAAGCCTCCCCAGGGCGAAGGTGCTCTTCCCATTTAATGGGCTTTGCATAAAAAGCAGAAGGAAGGGAATTATACTTCAGCTTTCCATATGCCTCTTGCACAGTGCTGTATGCAGGAGAGCAGGGTGGTGGCAGAGGATGGGCACTGGGGTTATTCCAAGTGTGGTTGTACTGCCCAAAATGATCTGGCTCAAAAGAAAGATCAGCATTCCCAGAGGGAAGCCCTTTGGTAGGCTCAGGATATTTTCAGGCTTGAGACTGTTTTTTTAACTAATGCATCTGAAGTACAGAAGGTATAATGTGCCCCCAAGAAGGAGATCCAGCATTTCACGTTATTACAAACGTTCCCTGAGTCACTCGTGTTTTCCTGTCTGCGAGAACTTCCCTGGAGACGTGGTGACTCAGAGACAACTCAGAACCCCGAGTCCACACTGCAGTCCACGCTGCCATCCCTCACCAACCCGGCTCAGGCTTGAAGAACCGCCACAGAGTGCCGGGGCAGAGCAGCCAGGAGCCAGGTGCTGGCTGGCTTCCCAAACATGCCAGCTTGGGCTCCTGCATGTCCCTGCAGCCTCTGCAGCACTGGCCTCTGCCTCCGAGGGCCTCACCAGGAGGAAAGGAGCGGCAGTGGGGTCTACGAGCAGCCCTCGCTCCCATCTGCTCATTGCCAGCTGAATTTGTGTTTCACCTATGGAAAAGTCTTGTATCCACTATTTAGAGTGTTTTCTATCTAGCGATTGATGGAATTGTCATTCCACTCTTTCTGCGTGTTATTGGCCGGACCAGAACTGATGTCCATCTCACTGGTGACCAGGCGCTCCAGGGTTCTGTTCCCAGCTCTGCAAGTCAAGCCAGTCAAATCATCTTCTCTGGGTCTCAATTTCATGCTTTGTAGGATGGGAACAATAATAACAGTAATCCTCCTTCTCAAGGGCATTATAAAAACAATTGTCTGATGAGAACATGGAGCTTGAAAGATCAGAAACATGTCTCATGTTAAGTATCATCCATTGTAGGTATTCTTCCTATTATACATTAGTTTTGACACTGTCACATGCTACATCCTTCTGTCTCAGCTGACGAAATCCCCTTCAAGGACATTCTTGGTTTTCCTTTTCTGTTTTCTTGTCCATTAAAGTTTCACCATTATTCCCTGAGGACTCACTGGCTTTTCCTGTGCTCGCATCTTGCAGGAAATTTCAAAAATGCTCTCAAAAACCAGTGTCTGTCCATCTCTCGGGTGTGACTGTTGGTGTTTCACAGATGTGAACTGTGTGTAACAAAGAGTAATAATAGCAAATACATGGCCTGGTAGGTCTGTGGTATTTTCCTTCTCCAGGGCACTGTGCTGGGCATGGACTCCTCTCCCGTCTGTGGCAACGGGGCTATGCAGAGCCGTATGCAGACCTTAAGCCTTTTTCATGGGTGCAATTGTTTGTTGGTGAATTAGGAAAACCCCTGGTAAGATCCTCCCAGTGAAACTAAATCACCTCATCACAACCCGGCGCTTTCCATCAGCTCTCCCAGCTGCTCTCCCAGCTCATCTCGGGTATCCTTTTCCTGCTAAGAGATGTAAATGGGTATCTCAGCACGGGAGGCAGGTATCAGAGAGAACTAAATACGCTGCTTGAGGAACCTCTCCCCATGTCTGTTTACCTGCAGAAGTGGCCGTGCCTCGCGGTGCTGCCAGCAGATGCTGGACCAGCGTCCTCTTTCAGCCTCCTGCTTACATTTAATCCATAATGTTTGTGGTTTTCCAAAAGCCGTTCTGTATTCACACACTGAGGCATTCTGCAGAGAGCTCTGGAGTAAGCTGCCATTTACAGCTGAAATACAACTCTATTCTGATGATGTACTAGGTGATCTTTAAGGTCCCTTACGACCCAAACCATTCTATGACTCTATGATGGCAAGAAACCCAGCACATTAGCAGTTTAATCAGAATTTCCCGCCTGCTCCCTTGCCCGTTGCCATCAAGTCTAAGGCAGGTTGGTGCTAAAGTACCTTTTTGCGTGATCTGGTTTCTAGTTTTGAGGTGGCTGTATCTCGCTTGGGTTGGAAGGCTTACGGTTTCCACAAGGAAGGTCTGTTATTCCAGCAAAGAGCACGAACCCTGCTCTTTGCTGTAATTGCTGAACGGTAGTGCAGAATGATAACATCTCTTCACACACCCTTTTCTGGAAAGACCTGGCAGGTTCCCCACTTCTTCGATCACCTTCCCTCTCCGTTGCTTGTCTTGTCACGCCCTGCAGACATCATCAGCTCTTTTCAAGAGCCGGTTTGGGCCAGGGAGCATGCCTTCATGATTGTCCGACAGGACCATAACGCACTGTGGAGGCTGGTGGAGAATGAATCATCAATACTAATCCAAGACACAAG